GGAGACATCACCAAAAGACAATTTGCATCGAAATGGAGTAGATGACCTTTTATATGGGAGGGAAAAATGATGACAACATGGAGCCTCGTCTCGGCCCATTTGTTCATATACAATATCTACCGTTTCTCATGCTAAATTATACATAAAATTCGCTGGGACGCAAGTGAGGAGGAGGATAAAAAAAGAATGAGTATATATGTATAAAAGAAAGACGAGTGGAGGGTGATCGTCGAGTCGTATCGACGATGTCTCCAGGGTGATATTTAAACTCAATTACTGTCTGTCTGTGGCCGTATCCGAGCGTATGTACTCCCTTTAACGGGAGGGTTTGTATATGTATGACGTGAGCGCTAGCCAACCTCTTCGTGACAGCACGAAACCGACATTGAGACGTCGTTTAACGTCGAAAAACAGCCTGGGAGACGTGGCAAATCGGGCTTTATTTAAAATTATCAATTGAAGTGAAAAAGCAGTTGTATGTATTTTTTTTTTTTATTCCACCCTTCAGAAATCGTGCGTTCCTAAAAAAAGGTATGATTAGGGGTTTGACAAAGCCGTGAAAGGCTCGTAGATGCACTTTTAGTTTTAGCCGACACGACATGCGGGGAGCATGTATGCCATCACGATGTGAAAAAAAAAACCACCACTTTCTATTTAGCTCAATTTTTTATTTAAATTGAAATATGATTGACGGTCTGGCTTTAAGACCCGATCAATAATTTAAATGTGAATCATTTTCAACTATAACGCAGGAGGTGCAGGTAACGCATGAATGATCATGTGGAACCACTACACATGCAATGAATAAAAAAAAAAAAATAGTCCCTATTTCAATTTCGTACCACGATATATTAAAAAAACGAACGTGTAATATGGGTTTAAACTAATAATTTACGGGAATTTGTGCCACGTGCTTATATTTCTTATTTTTTATGTATTCCTTATGCTGATATAGGGTGAGCGATAACTTGTATTTTTTCAATCCAATTTCACCACTTTTTCTTTTTCCGAATGGAGGGTTTTTGGAGTGCACTGACGAAGAAAGTAATAATGTGGAAAAAAATATTTTCCGGGACATCTGGCATGCGTATATAATATCGAGGATGTTTTTCCTGAGGGTGCTAAGCTGTGGGCGAGTCGAATGAAAATGCGATCGGTGGATGGGTGGATCTGACAGTTAATACACAGATAAAAAAAGAGACATGAAAAAATAGAGGGCATAAACAGCGGTGAGAGGGCTAGTTCCATGACTTTTTAGAGGGTGTATCACAAATCGATCGGAGAACTACGCTGGTGGTCGTGCACAAATGGGCGGTCACCAAGTTGCAAGTTTCTCTTCTCTTTTGCACTATTATGCCAGCTGTTAAAACCAGACATAACCTCAGCTTGGCTTATAGTTCAACAGCAATCATGAGAGACTGCTGTGTCTAATGCTTATATAGAGTCTTCATTCAATACAATATGGATCCTCTCCCTCATCGTTCATTCCTGTAACACCGGAAGTTGGTAGAATCGTTGAAATATCTTTCGTCACGGATCATTTCCACACAATTCGAGTTAATTGCCAGATTGCTCGGTAAAAATATCCCGAATTTTCCGATGAAAACGTCAATCATGATTTTCCCTTTTTCTTTTTTTTTGGAAAACATTTTTTCAATTCAATGATCTGGCAAAGAAATCTGGGAAATTATTCAATTTAGTCAAGTTGTGTGTTGAGGGTGCCGGGATGTAATGTCAAATGACTGGGGCGTGTGGGTCTCCACTCAGTTAGCAATTAATTCCAGTCGATGAAACCCTGATCGGGTCACAAGGGTTGACAACACCCGGCTGCGACGTGATTCCGCACCCCCTCATCTTCATGCCAACTATATATATAGAATAGCGCGTGTAAGGGAGACCAGAGTAATTTTTTTTCCCTTCCAAGCGTGACTATTTGAAAATCAAATATGTACTCATTGAATTTATCAATTAACGTGATGCTCATTTGAATGGGGAATGGAATTAACACCGAGAGTCATGAAAATGATTTTTCCGAGTGGCCTGCTTACACTGAGAGAAATATTCAATTAAAATTACGTGTATTTTCCGTAATTCTGGAGCGAAATGGGGTTGTCGGAAATTTTACGGAACTGTCACGTAATTTTTATGTAAAGTTACGGAATTTTTCCGCGTTGTTCCGTCATTTTTATCTGAATTATCGGTGAAAAATAACAATACCGTCACTTAAATTTTTCAAATCAACTCCGTAATCGGTAAGTGAACTGAAAGTTCCGTAATTTTTACTAAATCTTTCTCTCCGTGTACACTATTCGACACCTCTTTTCAGTATAATAAAATGAAAGGACCCTCTCGAAAAATTCATGGCAACAATGCTGCATCGTTTGTCCAATTTGTGACGGCTATCGACGCATTCTATTGTCGAACTTGTGAAAAATCCCTTGGTTATTGTCCCACGCACTCTGGTGGGCTCGAATACAAAAGAAACCGACTCATTGATTTCTTGACTTCTCGCTCATCTTCATCATTTTCTCATCTACCCTCAATCCGGTTAACTAGACTTTAATATCCGGAAACCTGGAAATTTTCCAAGAATTTGATTTTTCCCGAGAAGAAGGAGACAAGAAAAGATGAAAAAAATTTGTTGAAATAGCCACCTAGCACCTCACGAGTGAAAATTGACTGGTCATCATCATGAGACGCGCCCACGAAGAAATAACATAATCGATTTTGCGCAGAGTCGACCTCCAACGATGCTGCACTCACGGAAATGGCCCGCCCCCTATTTCCAGCGAAGCTCAGGATATAAAATACTGGTTCATGGCAGACAAACCGCTCCTGCTCTCTGTTTGCTCTCTTGATCCTCAATTTTTTTATTTTTAGCATAAATAAATGATTTTCCTCAGGTGCACCAAAACATCAACGAGTTATTTTCCATCATCTGAAAATCACCATCTTGAACTACCACCGACCTCGCAAGATGAAAAAAAATTCTAATTCGTTACAAAGGAAAATCTCTTTAATCCACGGTGGAGCAGTTAAAACAGTGAGTGCATCTCTCCCTCCTATCATCATACGGGTGATAAAATTTTCTCGAGATAGGTCTCGCGGAAAATACGAAAAATCACCAGGGCATAAATCGCTCTCGGTGAGAAAGGTGATGCCGCCTAGAGGCGGGAAATAGTTGAGCCAATGAGATAAAACGGTGGGCGGAGCTAACCAACGATTTTCTCCCACTCACGAGTGAGAGTTGCGGCGGGCTGTCGCATGTGTTTGACCTGTCAAATCAACTAAGCAACACAAAAACCCAAGGGTTCAACTTATAAGGGATGTCATGGCAACAAGAGGGTGAAATTTTCGTGTCACAAGAATTTTACTCTCCAACAATTTCAAGACTCTACTTCCTCTTTTACCCTATCCATCCCTTCCTCCAAGTACACACCTTCCATACATATAAAGAGTTTGCGTGACATATTCTCGTCAATTACCGATAAATATACACGTGTACAATGTCCAAGAGGTTGAGTATTATGATATAGGGAGAAAAATATGGAGGATACAACTCCACATATTATAAGCCATCAATGGGAAGGGCATGAAGGGTCATTACAGCTGGATCATTATACCGGTCGTCATCAACTTTATCCACATAATGTATTGTGTAATATGTGATGATGGGCCACTTTATGTCATCTGCTTTGTTTCTTTTACCGTCTTATTCCTATTTTTATTAATTTTTCCTCTCTATTCCATTGTCTCTACATCCTGTAAAAAATTTATGAGTGCTAAACCCAAGTTCACAGCTAATAACTTTATAAAACACTGCGCCCCACTGAATTTTTATCGCTAAAAAAAAAAAAAAACAAAGGAGTTGCATGATCTCGACAAAATGTTCTTGTCAGTAACAGACATTAATTTCCATTTCATCATATGTCATCGGGAAAATTTCATGATTTATCATATACTTTTTTTTTTCCTCATCCTGGTAAGGTGGAATGTTCAACTCGACGTGAGTATTCCCACATATCTCAGACACTCAAGTACTCCTCATTTCTCAAAATGTATCGCTTGATACATGCTAAATGCCTCCTCAGCGGTGAAGATCAAAGGTAATGCCGACGGAATTCAGTGGCCAAGGTATCATAATAATTTGCTTGGGGCCTCTTCATGTTTTCAGTATTGGAATAGGGAATGCCGACGGGGCCTTTAAAACCGACGATCACCATCGTCCTAAATTAAAGCTAAATGGGACTCTAAAATCGTTTTACGGATCTCCGTATCCCATTGTAATCACGACAGGTATGCACTAATTCAGAATTCAGCATGGACCTTGGATTTACTCGTAACAATTCGCAATTTCGCTGAGCCGTTTAATTCCTTATTTTTTTTTTATCTATTTCTCCCTAGTTGAGGTCTTCAGGAGCCTAGGTAAATATATACATCATTGACACGTGTTGGGTAATCACTTTCGGAAGCTAAGAGCGCTTATTATCAGAAGACCTCGATATTTGCTCGACGCACACGTGGACTTTACTACCAACTAAAAATAAAAAAAAAATAAATAAAAAAGTTTCCAGGTTTTCAAATTTTTTTTTGCCATTTCTACATCAAAAATACACTCACAACATAGAATAATAAATAAACGATATATTATTTGAACGTTGATAACGATTGGTCCATAGGTATGGAGTCGGGGAAAATTTTTTTTTTGAGAATTTTGAATCGTGAGAGCATTTAGGTGCGGGTTGAGGAGTGCCTTGTGTAGATGTTAAGTACATCTCGTAAAAATTCCACCGAACTAGCGTCATTTTGACCGTCGGTATCAGTGGCGAATGCTTTGGATAATAGTTGGGCGGTATCTTGAATAGTAACCGCCCACTCGAGGAGTCCTGCCTCTTTTGTGGACTTTGATGTACGCCGGCACATTTCCCCACCCTTTTGCATGGAATAGAGGCCTCTGGCAACCAGGAGGGAGAGATAGGGCTGGCACAGGGACAGGCACAAGCACTGGCTACAAGTTAGCTCTCGCTTCAAACCGTTTCCAGTCACTGGCTTGGACACTCTTCGACTTCTCTCAATGACGTCAACACTTTACTGACTTTATCCATCCAATTTCATTGTACGGAAAATTCCATTTAATGAATCGGTGATATTATTGAGAGCAACGAGAGTGACGTGATAAACAATTCAACAATATTTGTGTAAATTGGTTTTTTTTTTTTAAATTCATGGAAAAAAGTCGATGGGTGATTGTTCGAGTGACAGGGCAGCCGTTTGTATGGTTCAAGTGTTAATGAAATAGTGATAATTCGTGTCAAAATAATTGATAGTGAAAGATATGAAGAGAGTGCGCCGATTTATGGTATGTGCTCACTGAGAAGACTCACCGGTTTACTTCTAGGTAAACATGGAAAAAAAGGTGGGTTGTACAGTTTGAAGGTACAATCCATGCTAGATAAAATACATTGTCTATAGTTGAGTAAGAACATTTAACTGTTTTGAGCGACGGCAAATAATTGCTGGAAAAATTCTATATGACACTTGTGAATGGTGAAAATCATCGTGCAAGCCCGGAAATCGGAGTTAGTATGTGCACAACGGAGATGACCGAGGGCTTCACAATGTCACCATCAACAGCCTCCTCGAGTGGTACCAATTCTGGTTGCATTGGATCACCCAGCAGCCGTCTGGTATCATCAAGAAGTTCACTGGGTAGAGCTAGAGAGGCACGTGATGAAGAGGACGATGATGAAATATCAGTGGGTTGTCCAAGTCCACTGCCCCTGGTTGTTGGTGCAACACCACAAGATGAGGAGGATGAGAGACTGAGCTCATCAAGGGAAGAATACAGCGAAAGACTGAGTCCAAGGAGTTACATTGATGATGATGAGAGGTATTCCAGGGATGGTGAGTACAATATCAGTAGAAGAAGAAGTAGAACAACGAGTAGAAGTGAAGTAACCAGTCTCGGTGCTAGAGAGACTGAGGAGGGAGATGACGAGGAGAGATCAGGCAATGGTGGTGATGATTACTTCAAGCCATTGAAGAGACTGAAAATGGTGCCGATACAACAATCCGATGAAGAGGATGAACGGGATCGTGAAGCTAGTGAGCGTGGAGTCAAGTCATTTAGCATCATTGACATTCTGTCACACCGGCCGAAAGCTAAAATAGTCAGGCCATGGGACACAGTTGAATCTAATCATCATCACAGACATTTACCCCAGCATCTCCATCACACTTCACCTCATTCCACACCTAGGGATTTATCCCTGATGGGTATGTCACTGGCTTCAATGTCAGGCTCAATGAGCGAACCACCACTGAGCAGCTCCTCATCATCCGGAAGAAGTTCTGTATCAGACTCTGGTAGTCCTGATCCCCTGGCGCATCATCACCATCATCATTCCCTTCACCATGGATTACATCCCGGACTCCATCATCCAGCGATGCAACAGCACTTCAAAAGAAAGTCCAGCCAACAACAGCATGGCAATCATGTGGGACACAATGGTAAAAGAAGTACTGGTCAGGGTAGTCCACTGGATGCACTTTTCCAAATGACGAGCAAGACATTCGATGCTGGTGAACACAGTCAAGGTGAGACACACGCTTTTCCAATTTTTCAATATCCAATTTCCAATAGCCTTGTATAATATTTTTGCATTCAAATCGGCAGCTAAAAATCGACACTAAATAATAAACCACCAAGCAATAATTTTCAACTCGTTGCAATAATATCGTAAGCGTTAAACAGCGCTTGTCTTTTCGAGGCATAATCCGCGTGCACTATGAAAACGCTAATTATCTGGCAATAATGGAAAATCATTGCGGAACCGTTGTCTCGCTGAATAGCTATAGAGATGATTGCCTGATACCAACTGTCATTCTATATTGAAAATATCGCTCTACGAGCTGCGAAATAAATTACGAGTGTATTTCGCTGTTATAGCTCATGTCATTGTTCATCACAAACTAAAGACCCCTTCGTTATCTTTAATTGTTAGCTATTATCTTTTTCCGTCTACATTGTGTAGAATAGGTCCTCTATACCGGCTTAAGTGAATATTTATGATAAAAGATTTTCTATTTTTCCTTTTTTTTTTTTCCAATTATACTCGGTCGATAATAGTGGGCCGTGAATACTCATCAAGACCCAACATATCTCAAGAGATGATTCTAAGTGATTCTAGCGTGTTTAGGGTAGATTACATCACTCATCTGTCCTCCCCGGATTACCGTAAATTGTCTCTGATCCAATTGACCGTCACAAAAACTAGAGAAAAAAAATGCTGAAAGTTTGAGGCTCGTAAACGCTCTTATCTGCAATGGGTTTGAAAATTTGTGCAAATTCAATTTGCCGTATTTGGTGAGGATTAAAAAGTGCCCAAGGTCTTTTAATGATGACCATAAAATTCCTCAGTACTAGATTGAAGAGTGTATATTTAGGATTTTGGAAGGAGCACTTGGAGGCTACGTAATCGACCATTGTTTATGACGGGTCTCGTAAAATCCATTTTATGACGGAGCCCTTCTTCAAACACTTTCAAGAAAATCTACAATTCCCTAAAATTTTTTCAATTTCATTACGCAACGAGTATGTATTCACCACAAGAGTGGTAATTTAAGGATTAGCTATTGAATATTTGAGTGTACAAGCCTGAAGAGATAAAGCTAGGTAGCCAGGGATATTCGAGTATCAGGTATAATTTTAGGCCTACCTATGTGACCAAGTAATTTATTACGTGTGGCTCGCTGTGCATATGTTCCCATTAGCATATAGCGTGCAATAATACGTCATTCCAAGTCCGTGTGCAGGTTTAATACGTGATCCTAGATGACGAAGAAAATCCCAACCCAGACTAATTTCAACAGCCAAAAAATAGATTTTCAAATACGCCAGACGATACTAGAACCTCTTCACGATACTCTCCCGCTGGGAGACACCGACGGCCATGGGAGACACCATCAGACACTCAGTCCCATCAATGCCATGTGTCCCTAACATTTCACTATTTCTGATGGAATATAAAGTCCAGAAGTTCACACGAAAGCTTGGATGTGCACCGTCGGCATTGGCTGTAACGAATATTGAATCGAATCGTTTGTAATATATTATTCAATACGTGTTCCATTATAGTTTGGTGAGATTCAAATTGGATTAGGTATTCTGAAGGGCCAGGAGAAGCTGTGGAAATGGCTTTGGGGTGGTTGATGCCAGGAGCAAAAAAATTCAGCTCCTCTGATCCTCTCCTCTGATCGTGGAGGAGCTCGACTCTCTTGCCCGGTATACGGTAGCCTCACGTTCTCGCAATTTACTTCTGATTATTATGCTCTCTATACTTACGCGGCATGATTCTTATACGCAGTGGATCTACATGGAGCACCATCTCCTTGGATCGATTTGTGGCCAATTCAATTTCACCCGATGAGCATCGATTTTGACGCCAGTGAATTCTTAAATTCTTCAAATTTATTATCTCCCTCTTAAAATGGAGCAAGATGACAACAGATGAAAACACTCGAGTCTCTGGCATCAGTGAATTGTCGAGATGGTGAGGCATATGGAGAGCTGTTTGGGTCAACATGTTGTGACAGTTCAAAAGACAAACAAAATACCACTCACCACCCGCTGTTTAAGTGAGCTGTATCTCTCTGTGTTGTATACAAATGGAGAAACCCAAACCACCGAGTAACGATTTTCATATAACAACTGCAATTAAACAAGCCGAGATAATTATTCGGTAGTCATGCATTGAACTGATGAAAAAAAATTGAGTGAAAAAGTGCGACATCCTATTGCGGCAAATAATTCTCAATTAGTCGTAAATCGTTGCTTGCTAAGTCGTATTCATGTCAGTGTGTTGGATGGGATGGATTTATATTGAATAGCAGAGGAAGATTTATGCGAGCAATCGGTCTGAGTTTGTCCTCGAATCGAATATCTCTCGGGATAGCCAGTAGTTAGAGGTTCTAGAGAAGCTGAGAAATCACTCCCGTGATACAAACTCGCCCCTTTCTCCTACTTCCCCTAGCTCGAGCAAAGATTTGAAAAAGGGGGGAAATGATGAGGGCGAGAGATTTTTGGTGGCATTATTGTGGCCACCCCCGAAGACGAATAAAAATAAATTCGATCCGGATTATTTTCAAATCGGTCTCCCGAGGAAAATTATCATATGTCAAGCGAATAGTGTACAAATATATACTCTCAGCACTTTGCGTTTGTAAAGACATCATGACTAACGTTTCATTGAGGGGATGAGAAATTCCATTCCGAAATGTTGCAGTGGCTAAATCAAATGGATTATTCAAGACTCATTATTAATGTGTACGACTCATTTGGTGGCTCCATTCGACCGGAAACATCAATCAAGCTGACTTGGTGTAGAGAGAAGGAAAGATCCAATTAAATGAATTGAATTTGACGTACGATTTTTTTTTTTAATCTGTAAACCTCTGGAATCGACATTATCGAATTTTTATTTCCCCCCTCGGAGGAGCATGAGAGTTGGAAAAAAAAAATGACCACAGGCTCGCTGCGTGCGTGTTTGCGGTAAGGGTATATTAGTAAGCAACTGTAGGCAGCCTATACGAAGACGCTGAGAATAGAGCCATAAACCTTTACGACTCAGTTTCGCTATTGTTTCGTTTAGAATTCGAAACTTCCGTTGGAAAGAGCGGCTATCTGTCCTGCATGCACTTTTCTTTTATCTCATTTTTTAAGGTTTTTCGAAGAGACGAAAGTGATGGGGGTAAGAGCAGATGAAGGAGAAAAGAAAGATGGCAAATGACATTATATAGCCGAAGAGTTGAAAGGAAAAATGGTTGGAGAATGATAAAAATACAATTGTAAGTAAATTTCATTTGGTGGGCTCACCAAAGAAATACGAAAAAAAAGGGGGAGGGGAGAGATGTAAAAAAAAATGAAGGGGAGGCCGACCACTTTTCACATGCAAATCAAATGGGATAGGGATCGCGTCGGAGAGCTCACTGTTGTGCTTTATTATGGTGCTAATTGCCGGCTACGGGGAGAAAACACTGGATATGACTGTATGGGTATAGCCAGTAAAGAAATACATTGCTGAGAGGTGCTAACCAAAACAAGAAGGGACATCTAATCCCCTCTTGGCCTATTCTTAATTGTTAATGCGGTATTTTTCTCCGATAGACATGGCTTTCGTTGTTTATACTTTTATTGTTATTTTAATAGACATTACACGCGTGCTAATGCGCCCACACACATGGCGATAGTCAGGGATTTTCACACTGAGAGAAATATTCAATAAAAATTACGTGTATTTTTCGTAATTCTGGAGCGAAATGTGATTGTCGGAAATTTTACGGAACTGTCACGTAATTTTTATCTAAAGTCACGGAATTTCTTCGCGGCGTTCCGTAATTTTTATCTGAATTATCAGTGAAAAATAACAATACCGTCACTTAAATTTTTCAAATCAACTCCGTAATCGGTAAGTGAACTGAAAGTTCCGTAATTTTTACTAAATATTTATCTCCCTGCAGGGCAGACCACACAAGTAAAAAGAGTTTAATCCATTTGTTGGTAATTAATTTAGTGTAAAATTAATTAATTAATTTGGTGTAAAACGTAAAAATTATTTTTTATTCTAATAAAATTGTGAGTAACGCGGAAAATAATGTAATGGCATTTAAACAAGTAGGTAACACGTCAAAATACCGAGTCGAAGGTGACCCGAAGACGGTGAAAATCTAGTCTCAGACCTTGTCATTATGAACAACACACTTACAAATATAAATTTACTGGCATCTTTATGTATAGTTATCATTTGCTAGTGTTACTCTACTTCACGAGCTGCTATTTGCTACGAAAATGGAGTTAGACTCTTTGAAATAAATAATGAGGAGCATTGAGCGACTCTCCCACGGGTTATAAGTTCGATCCTACACTACTTATCTTAACCCTATACATTAGACGTGTATAAACGCTCAGCTGTGAAATAATACAGAAAATGGCTTCATTTCGCCATTCGTTTATTGGCTTTTTACAGTCAATAACTGGATACTATTCCACTTTCCTCATTTTAATCAGACTACTAAAAATCATTAATTACCGTGAATGTAATTATTAAGCAATATGCGTAATCGTGATTCTGTGAAGTCAACAGTAATGAGCCACACGTCGATTAGCAAATGTAATTGTCCAATTAGTCTGTAGGGATGTTGGTAATGGTGAGGCGAGAGGGCATTTTTGATTTTGCGATATTTAATTGAGCCAGGGAGATGAAGGATGGAATGCCGATGGTTTTGAGGTGCAGGCAGAAGGTAGAAGAGGCTATGACCACCCGTGCCAATCCTATACCGCTTAACTCACATCGTTAACACAAGCCCTTGATCACCAAACTTCTCAATCTTAACAATTAATATTTCCACCTATTAATTTATTTATTGATTTTTGGCTATTACCAAGTTGCCACACGGAGAGAAATATTTAGTAAAAATTACGGAACTTTTAGTTCACTTACCGATTACGGAGTTGATTCGAAAAATTTAAGTTACGGTATCGTTATTGTTCACCGATAATTCAGATAAAAATTACGGAATACCGCGGAAAAATTCCGTGA